TGCATAACTGTTCTCCCTTTGAAGCTCTCTCATCTACGTCTAATCTATTTTAATAAACTTGGAGCCTTACCGTACCAAGACTCCTTTGGGTCCACCAATCCAGAGGAACGATACGTAACTATGAGCTCCCTTAGCTACAGCCATAAATCTAATGAAATTCAGTAATTTAGTGGACAAGACTTATGATGTTGCATTAGTGTTTCAGTGACTCACACAGCAGATATTTGACTAGTAGTTAAGTGAACACATAGAGTGATATTCATAATTATATAAGCATATCTGTGACATATAAGTATGTAAACTTATGTGTGTTAGAAAATAAAACCATTCTTAAGTGCGTAAAATAAAAATCACCCTAACACCCCCACTTCCCTTATGGCTGTTCAGAATAGAATGGCTTTGGACATGCTTCTAGCAAAAGAGGGTGGTGTGTGTTCAATGTTTGGAGAGATGTGCTGTACTTTCATTCCTAACAATACAGCACCTGATGACTCAGTAACTGGGGCCCTAGAGGGCCTGCGCACCCTCTCCAAGACTATGCATGAGCACTCAGGCTTTGATAACCCTATTGCTGCATGGTTCAATAGGATGTTTGGTAAATGGAAGGGAGTCATTATCTTATTACTCATTATAGTGGCAATCATGATAACTGTTTTGATTATTGTTGTATACCTTGCATTCTTTCCCTCTGCAACAGATTAATTACTACAGCCATTGAAGGCAGGGACAGAGATATGAATCCTAAACAAATGATATCATTACTGGAACAGGAAGAAGTCTTTTTACATTTTTTCAAGTCGAGTCTAAAGTCATCAAATTAATGACTCGAGTCCGACTCGAGTCCAAGTCATGTGACTCGAGTCCACACCTCTGGCATTTAGGTTGCTATATAACTAAGGCACTAACATAGTTTAGAAATTGTCACTTTAATAAGACATTGCATTATGAGATAAAAGTATAACCTTCACATAGGTGCAGCGTGTTCACTCATTATTAAATGCACTTCTGGGGAGTTGTGCCTAGCACAGCCCTGTTTCAAGGGAAAGAAACTGATTACACAGTGGAATATCCAGTTGTCTGCAACATTCCACAATTTTTAATTAAATGCACCTAAAAGGATGAGTTTTAATAATATAATCTTCACAATCTCACAGTATGCTTATTAAATCATTGTGTGTGTGCTTTCCTTATCACAAGAAATGAAACTTTGGTTTCGGGGAGGTAAGAATTACTCCAGCCCCCAAGGTTTCCATTTGCTACTGATTTTACATCTGAAATTAGATACTTTTGGAATGTGAGAGTAGGACCATTTACCTTTACAGTAGGAAATGATAGGGGAAGAGTGAGATTCATAGCAGACAATCTGAAAGAGCCAAGTACGTGTTTCCACCATTTTGTACACCATTGGGTGAATATTTACTTAAATCAGGATTGCCTATATTCAGGGGAATTAGATTATCCCCCAGTTAAAAATACACCATGGTTTGGCATGACTACCAGTCGGCGTGGTTTCTGGGCACGATGATTGTGGTCGCAATAATAGTGGTCACCCCCATACTCTGGTGGGAGAAACATGCTTGTACCACATTAACAAGTAAAATTCTCTCACTAGCTCGAGAAAATGGTATAAAAAATAGAGAAATTGTTTGCACTGGAAATGGCTGAAATGTATTGCTCAAGCAGCTGAAGGCTGAGATGTAATGCTGAATAATCCTGGAAACTGAAGAGTAAAACTGAGGTTGAGAGCTTAAACGCATCATTTAAATGGTGCCCTAACAAAGTGAGAAGTAGAAATAACACAGCTTCAAGCTGTAAAAGAATAAATCCTTTGTATTAACATCTGATAGGTGAACTTCATTGCTTAAAACTTTAGAACATAATATTTGCTGGTAGAAAGAAGTGAGCGCTGAACTGTTTCTGATGTGAAGGGATCTTAAAACAAAATGCACAGAAGAAGGAAGTTCAGAAAACATCCAACTTTGTATTTGACCTGAATTGAACTAGAATTATCAGTTGAAGTGTTCAGTAAGTGTCATGTTATTTTGTAGGGAGCTTCTGGGTTTTTCCTGTCTCACTGACTCCAGCTTGATCTTAACTAATCAGTGACCGATTGAGATCACCTGTGTCTCCTTTACTTCCTTATATGACCTGTCTGTTCCCGCTCCTTAGGTGCTCTAAAGTCACTTGCTGTGTGGAATGCTGTCTAGTCATCTCCTGTTCTCTGCACCAGATCTGTATCCAGCTTGCTTTTCACCCTCTGCCTGCCTAGCACTTGCCATCTCCTGTTACCTGTTTACTGGCCTTGTTCTATACCTGCCTCAAACCTGTTTCCTGGTGTGGTGCCAGCCTGTTTTTCCTCTCTGCTTGCCTTGCCTTACCTTTATCTGTTTTCATAAGTTGCCTGGTTTTAACTTTGAACTCCCCTGATTTGTCCAGAATGCTGTCCATCTGTGCCTCTGCTCTCCCTGTTTGTACTTTTGCGAGTCTAGGCTCAGTTTTTTTTTTTTGTCAGCTGAAGACTGACTTTTTGTTCTTGGGTTTTTATGGTGCTTGTGTCTACTTTTTAGTTGCTTCCTCATTGTGGAGGAGGATTTCTCCTTTACCTGTGCCAGCTATATATCTTGGGACAGTATTTACCCTGTCTCTGTGACTCTCTAGAGGTGTAGCTGCTCCCCTGACAGCTTGGCTGAGTTTCGCTGGCTTTCTGTCTATTCATACATAGGTCTGTTAAAACAAATGCCTCTCCAGTCTGTCTTGTACTTGGGTCCTCAGTAGTTGTTTAATAAGTTCTGAAATGATAGCAAAATTAATGCATGTCAGTGTAAAGTCTTAACATATAATTCTTGGATAAAGGAGCATATTTAAATGTGAAGGAAGCAGTGTTCAAGCACAGTCACTCATGGAAGGTGTAGAAGGTTTATATGATTTGTATGGTACCTGCTGATTAACTTTATGCACAACGACTTGGATCTTGAGTGCTGCTGAACAGCATTCACACAATGTAAAAAATGTTTGTCCATGTCTTTTCTCTTTAGCAAGGTGCAATGCAGTAAGTCACTAGTAAGTTACTTACTAGCTAAGGACATAAAGAATAAAGTTGATTTGATCTGCCTAGGTACAATTACAAATAACAGTTAACATGGGTGTAGACTCCTTAATCAGGACCCTGTCACAAAACAAGTCATTGATGCCTTGTTGAACAGAGGCCCTCCTACTACAGAATGAAAACAAATGACTAGATGAGCACTGGTGAGAGTGATCAAGATGGAGAGCAAGAAAAAACAATGCTAAATGGGAGTGAGGGAAGAGGATCCGGGAGAGGATGGATGAAGGAGGAGAAAGGCAGACAGGGAGGGAGGCCCAGCAGCAGCAGGCTGCAGGAATGTTTCACATGCCTGTCCTCTGGATGACCTTGCCTCCCTGCAGTGTGGGAGATACTGCAAGTAATTAGCCTCCTTTAACATTGGAGCTGTGCTGCTCCTATGCCGCAATAGAGTTAGCAGTGGCATTGAAGGGGATCAAGTGTATTTACATTTCCAAACAAAATATCCTTCTTTAGCATCTGTAGCACTCTGCCTCTTTTCAGTGGATGATGCATTCCATTCCTTTGTCTTTGTCATTTTAGGCAGAGAAGTTGTTTTCAGTCATTTAGAGCTGACAAATATTGTAAACATGTTCCATTATTTTGAAGTGGAACAGATTCCCTTCCCCCAACCCATCTTGCAGTGGATCTACTTTATCTTTAGAAGATTTAATTATGGATCTTTCTAACTCCAAATACTTCACTTAAAGTCAAGGATCAAGAACTGAAGTGGACGTGAACAAAAAGAAACAGAGCCTAAAAAGCACTTATTCTGTGAAAGGCCACATGGCTTCAATCATGACATGCCAATACTAGAACATCAGTATTATCTGTTTTGCTTGATGCCTTTTATTTAAAACAATCATGCCACTTTAAGGCAAATCCAGAGCTAAAAAATTGTGTCCTCCAGCATGCCGATACTAATGTAGTTATGTGGTTTTAGAGGAGCAGGAATTTTAAGTTTCACAATACTTTCTATATCCCCAGCATCTAATGACAACAATTCCCAAGTGTTATTTATTTTTAACGTTTTCAGATTAAAAGGTTTCCAGACCATGTTTACACAGTGGTTGAGAATATTTCACCTTTTTTTTTTTGATTGAAAAATCATTTGAAAAGCCAGTGGAGTGTTTAAAAATGCATGATCTAAAAGCTTAAAACAAGGTACCTATAGTAGAAATTATTTTGGAGCTACATTCTCAGTGGCCATTGATGTGTTGATGTCAAATGAGGAGAGACGGGGCATTTTCAGGCCAAACTAAAGCATACGAGGGTATTTACATTGAAATAATACTTTTCTGAGTAGACTAATAAAATTATTGCACAACAGCACTGTCCTGAAGTCAGCTGACAAGACCATGAAACTCAAGGTTAGCTAAAATTTAACATCAGTTTTAAAAGTATCTAAATTGATGCATCAGTTTTGGTACTTTTCAAACTGTTCACTGTGAGCCAGACAGTGTTATAGGAACACAAAGCTAAATCTGTTGAGCTGATGGTATCAAATTCTGTATCAGGTTGCCAGGTTATGGAAAAACCCTCTCTAGAATGACACTTATCTTTAGTTAATGCAGCTACTTAATTAATTTGTGAGATCCCTCCAATAGACAGTTTGATCACCCACATTTGTGAAAATGGCTGCAGAGCATCTGAACCAAAATCAATCTATAAACGGCTTATTAATATTTATAACAGGAGACATCATGGATTATTGTTGATTTGTTTATTCATAACCTATAGCTTATTAATATTTATAACAGGAGATATCATGGATTGTTGATTTGTTTATTCATAACCTATATTTAAAGTGTTTGAATTCAGAACTGATGGCTTAGTAGGTGTCTCTAATGAGTTTAGGTATCATGCTGTGGGAAGATGTTCACAATTTGGCAACCTAAAAGTTTTTTTTAGAGGCTTATAACTGATCTGTAAAGCATTAGTACCCAATGAAGCCATTAGATGCAGCCTTTATAAATGGTGCCCTAACTCTTTGAAAGACAGTGAGTGAGTTGAACTTTAACAGAAGCAGTTTTTACTTCTTTTCCACCCCTGATCTGATACTTTTACTTACGTAAAGGACCTAAGCAAGCTACTTGTTTCTATCGCTGCTGGCGATGGCAGACAGCGGCTGGGTCATGTGAAGGTCAGCAGCGGAGGAGGTTCATGGAGAGTTCACTTGCATACATTAGGTAACACCATCGGTCGCTGTGACATAACTAGTATGATGCAGGCTGAGCTGGGACATTAGTCAATAACGAGGAGATAACAAGAAAAGTCCGGGAGCAAACTTTGTTATGCAAAGCAGCCTGCAGCTCTCGATGCGCTAACCTGGGTCTCTCTGCTGGGGCGCAGTACGCTGGCTGGCCTCAGCAACTTCAGACCATCTGTGTGGAAATATAGGTCTGCTCCTGAGCGTGCACGCCTCTCTACATCTAAGACAGTCATGCTGTACTTTTAAAACACGTTTTCATCAAGCTCAACGTCGGCGGTGCAAACAGGGAGAACCCATCCTGCTGTCACGGATTTACAACATCACCAGACGGACTTCTCTGAAGCCTGATCATGTTCGACTACATGGAATTTCAAACTTTGGGTCACGGAGAAATCACCGACTTCTACAACACACCCAGTCCTCCCTGCATGCTGCAGGAGCTGGACCAGGACCTGGCAGCCTTCTTCCCCGAGCTGGTGGAGTCGGACTGGCCGCAGCACCGGTGCTCGCAATGTAGGTGTTATGTTAAAAATTCAGTGAATGATAGTTTGGTGTGCAGCATTCAGCGGATGTCCAGCACCAGGAAAATATCCGTATATTGTATAAAGGTAATCAAGTATGGTAAATCAAATCAATTAGCCTATGTGGCCTAAATTCAGAAAGGCAAATTTGTCTCAATAGGCTTCATATGACATCTTCCGCTCTTATAGACCCTCCACAGGTTCATCTCTTTGTTAAACACAGTAATATTAGATGAATTTACTCAGCAACACCTTAATCAGTAGGTCAAGAGTTTAATTCAAGTGAATGTTAAAGTGATGTGACCCAGTCCAGCATTTACAGTAAAGGTAAGGTTGTGTGATACAGTATCAATATGATCCTCTGATTGGAATAACATTTCACAGCATTAGGCTGCACTGATAGCAGGCATGTTTAAGTAACATATAAATCCACCCCATAGTCGCTATCTGTCCTGGGACTGTTCAATTGCATCACAGTCAATAAATAAATCAATTTGTAAAGTTCTTTTCATACAGGTTCAGAGTGCTTTACAGATGACCTAGAAGCTGAGGACAGATGTAAACAGGCAAACAGTTTGAGATCAATATGAAATATTACAACCAGAAGAATAGATTAAAAGTACTGTGTTTAAGTACAGGTAACAGATGATGACAAATTCAATGTGGTGCTTAAGTAAAAGAATATTAAAATCAAAGCTGGCAGGAAAACAATGTAAGGGCTTAGACGTCAACCATGTATTCTTGGTTCATGAATGAAGTGAAACAAAATGGAAATTCATTCAGACTAACTTTCCCACATCTGGATGGTGAAACACTTACACTGTTATTTTATTTTATTTTCATTATTTACCACACATTAAATTTTTCCTCTGACCATGTCTGGAGTACTTCACTCTCAACTGTCGTACTGCCTTTAAAACCCTACAATCAGAAGTAAATGTACTAGTTCTGCAGAAAAATGTCCCCTATAAGTGATATATTAGCATATGGATGGAAGGAAGGAAAACATTTTTGCTCCACACATCCATATTCATTTCCTTAGACTTTATTCTGATTTTTTTTTTTTGTCAAATATTGGAAATTTAGCCTTTTAAGTCAAACTTTTGTAAGAAGTTTAGAGAGGTAGTATCTTTATTGAACTAACACAACTTATAGATCTAATAGTTGGCGATGAGCCACAGCTGGATGTTTCTTGTTGTAAAGAGTCACAAGCCAAAAAGGTTCATTTATGCTGATCTGAACAGTAACTACAGCTGTCAGACTACGATATTTCTAGGGCTGGGTATCATTCCAAAATTTTCAATACTGGTACCGATACGGATACCTGACTTTGATACTGGTTCCTAAGTGCTACTTTTTTTTGCTCTTATTTTTTCAGAGCTATGTAGATTAAGCTAACTCTCCTTAGCAGGCAGCTACTTCTCGTTCAGAGCAGGGTCAGTAAGGACGCCGGTGTTCCAGTTACACATTGCGAGTACTGTGTCCTCCCATCCTCAGGAGTTTGGACATAAAGTTTGGACTTGCTAACTTACTACAGTCACCTATGATTGCGAACAAGCTGTGCAACAGCACATGGAATAAAGTACACACCTAGCAATATGTGTTTGATATCGCCAGAGCCAAGTCACAGCCAGGAAGAAGAGAAAAAGACAGAGCAAAAGACTGGACAAGAGTAAATTTTGGACTGGCTTTCACTCACTGGCAAGAGCTAAAAATACCCCTGTCAGGGTTACTAACTGTTAATAGCTACTGTCCTGGTATTAGCTGTAGAGTCCCGCTAACACCCTGCCATCACCACAGCAGGGTGTACATCTCTAATGTTATTTATGAAATACCTCAGCATAAGCTATAACCCTTTTGATGTCATCACGTCTCATGGAGATTTTTTCCAGATGTAAAAACTCATCTGCCTCAGTCCCCCAATTAAATAAATTCACACCAGAAGGTTTGGTCAGTCTTTGTCACAAACAAACAGCCAACAAACCCATCTCAACTAGCTTGTAATAAATTACACTGCCCAATGTACATTATGTATACTATGATGTGTCGTCAGCACAGTTTCATTCCATTACACACATCCACATTCAAACACTTAGCAAACTATCTGAAAACACGAGCAATATTTCAGTAAAGCTAAAAACAAACCTGTCGTTATTCCGAGTGTTCCCCTTCAATTCCACAATAAATAAACCTAAGCAGAGTCATATTTGTATAAAATCCTGTAATATTACTTTGCCATTCTTTGGCTTCTGACATTTTCTTTCCTGGTTCAGTAACAGCTTCAACTTGTAAACAAATGCACACGCAGGCTACTGCAAACTAGTATCTACCACAGTTGGGTACAACTCAGTTACACTTAGCAACTGACAAGTTATGTATTGTTGCTTTAAAACTCTGTTGTTGTAAGTGTTTGACGCATACAGTGCATTGTGGGCTAGATCAGATAGGACCACCTGGGTTGGGGGCAAGCTCTTTTCCCGCCCCCACTGACCAAATCACTTATACCACCCCCCACCCCCCCACTCACTTTCTGTTTCTTCTCCTCCTCATCAGTCAGTTGGGCTTGTGGCATGCTCCTGCATTGTTTTGTGTCGGGAGAGCACTCAGACTGATGGGGGTGTCCTCGTTTGACCCAAGGTTCAGCCAGAGGGCATGGGTTCAAGGGGATACAACCTCTTTCTTCATTTTCTGGTAGTGTTGGAGCAGTGGATGTGATCTGAGAGCCAGCAGGAGCCTGAGTGAGCCCCACAGACTGGAGCAGGATTTAAGTGGGAGGGTGAAGTGGAGAGAAATATAACATTCAGCTGGAAAATAGAAGTTAAAGTTCTGTTACAGTAGGTGCCTTAATGTGCTGGCAGCTGTACGTAGGTATTAGGGACAGGCACGTTCTAAACTGAAAACATTTCCAAAGAAAATGAAATGACACAACCCAGCTGGTCTGTGAAAGCAAAGAGCAACAAGAACAAGCTTTCTCTGGACAGACCACCCACCCTGGTATTTGACACAGTTTGGGTTTCACTCTGTTTTTGTGATTTCTAAGGTTCTAAATGAGAAGTACAGCTGTGTAACTCCACAATTTCATTTAGGCAAACTGAGCAATATTTATGAAACAGTGAGTGTGAGCGGGATCTTGTTTCTCAGCGTGTTCTTTCCGAGCATCAGTATATTCCTGGAACCTTATCGGTAGTAAGGAACAATGTAAAGTCTTCCCTTCCTTAAATGCCACAGGGCCATTTAAATCAAAACTGATTATCTTTTAGGAGCATGAATGAGCTCAGAAAATGTCAGTACAGTTTGCCTATTAGATTATGAGAGCTCCTGAAAGCTACTAGAAAAGTCACAATGAGCTCAGTAAATTTCAATCTGCATTTTTTTTGATATTTCTGGTTTATAACTAGGATTTGGCCTGATGCTTCCTAAGGGTCACCAACATGTTCATTGTCAGGGGAATATCTACAACAGATGTTTTTAAAGTCTGACAGTGTCTGACAGCTACGTTCACTTTAAAATGTAATGACTCTCAGGGGAGTTTTGGAGTTATGTGGGTTCTTCTATGATTTATAAGCACATTTATGGACATTTATTCATGATGGGAATCAGGGACGATGATTTCTTTGAGAAGTGTAAGTCAGACTGAATCTTAAAATATATGCATATCTGTGTGTTTAGATCTGACCAACTTATTGCTCCAAGAAGGATTGTGTTTGTGGTGGTCAGGCTGTGTCAGACTGTGCTGATAAACAGGTCAAACCAGTGGCCAAAGTACATTACCTTAACTAACATCTGTTCCACCTCACACAATATCTTCACCTTAAAGTATCAAAACCTCTGGTCCAATTTTTTTTTTTGACAATGTGGTGAGTCGTAGTTGTTAAAACTTGCTGTAGACCAAGAGTGTAGTGGACGGGTCTGACAAGCACGCCTGAGGTCACAAAGCTTCTAGTGGTGCAGTTATTGTATAGTATGTTGTGTACCACATGGCCACAGTACTGTATATCCCTTCTGTGCTTGTTTATCAGTGTTACATGGTGTGATATTTTGTGTTTGCAGCAGTGGCCAGCCAGAGCTCCAGCTCCAGCTCCATCTCAGAGGATCTGCTCACCAGCACCCCCTCTCCACCCCCACCCCCTCGCACTTATAAACCCTGCTTTGTGTGTCAAGATAAGTCCTCAGGCTACCACTATGGAGTCAGCGCCTGCGAAGGCTGCAAGGTAACACATCAGGCTCATGGTTCAATAAACGTCAGATTTTCAGATGAAACCTTTTAGTTTGCACCAGCTACAAAAAGGTCACAAGAAAAATAAAATAAATACATTTATATGTTAATGCACAATACTTTAACAGGATGTTTACAGTTGTGCTCTGCCACATTAGGTATTGGTTGCTGTCTTGCTCAAATAACACACCAACACCATGTCCCTAACACCTAATTTAATCTTTCTGAATTTTGAGTGAAATATCTCAACATCTAATGGATAGCTTGAGGAAGTAAATTTCCTTATGTTCACATGATGTTTCATTGTGTTACTGTATCTGTACAGACAAAATACCAATATCATCATAAACTCTCCAACTGTCATATACGGGTAAATATACCTACAGTATTTATATTGGCAAATTATTCTAGATTTTGCCTTTAGGGGGGGTTATTTCTACTGTTCTGGCAACTTAAATCACTGACGCCTTCTCTTTTGCCTCTGCAGGGCTTCTTCCGCCGAAGCGTACAGAAAAACATGGTGTACACTTGCCACCGCGACAGAAACTGCATCATCAACAAGATCACCAGGAACCGCTGTCAGTACTGTCGGCTGCAGCGGTGCTTCGCTGTGGGAATGTCCAAAAAGTGTAAGTGTCAGATCCACTCTAATTCAGCAAGATGCCTTGTGAGACCCATTGCTCCGTCATGTTGAAGATAATGTGGCAACTGTAACAGCCAAAACCAGACGTTCACATTCAGTAAAGCGTAAGAGGTGATGGGAAGGTCAGTGAATGATTGACTCAGGTTTTTCATTTTGCTGCATGATTCATAAAACCACAACACAAAAAAATGCATTTCTAGACTACAGAAACCTCAGTGTAGGTCTAAATACACAGCAAAACAAAACAAAAAATACCATGGAGTTACATTTTTCATTTGCTGTATATTTACAGTAACATTCCATCCTGTTTCTGTTCTGTGGAAATGTATTTTTCAGGTTTATTTAGCAAAAAAATTATGGGAAATTTCTCAAACCTCAAAGGAGCACTTAATCCTAATGATTCAAAATGACCACATTTGGAGATACATGGGTTTTTTTTGTGAATGTATAATGGCAATTTTCAGAGGGTGTACCTTGTTTTTATGAACTTCCTTTAACTTTTAAAGACACGTCATTTGTTACAGCTTAATCAGTCATTTCCCTTCAATCTAAATATGTCTGCCCATGTGTGTAATCTTCTCTGATAGACATAGAACCGCTGCCCGGCTTGTTTATTAGTGTCTTGGTCTTGTCTGAATTGTGTGGACAAATAAAGCATCTTGTATTTTCAAAATCAAAGTCTGAGTATCATGGAAAAGGCTGGTAAAGTCCATTCATGCTGTCAGTTACCATAACTTGAATTCCAGAAATAATAACATCAAAATGAGTTTTACATCAAGTATCAGCAACATTTCGTATCTTTTAGCTGTTTGTTTGGCATCTTATAACCAGTGGCATTCTTTTCCTCAGCAGTGAGAAATGACCGAAACAGGCGGAAGGGGAAGAAGGAAGCGGTGAAGATGACCATTATGGAGACGTATGAGCTGACAGCAGAGCTCGGTCTGATAGTAGAGAAGATCTGCAGGGCTCACAGAGAGACCTTCCCCTCCCTTTGCCAGCTGGGAAAATATACCACAGTGAGTCACAACATCAAACCTGATGTTTGAAAAAAAAAAATTCTCTGCAGAGAGAAAATCATTTGCAGAGGGGAAGATATCCAAGATGTCCTCTCTGTCCATTGATTCAGATATGTATTTTATAGAGAATAGTTGAAGGATAGCGTGAGTTTAACCAGGTATTTCTAGTTTGCCATTAGAAGACGTCAAATACAGAACACAAACATAAAGAATGTATTGTTGGAAGTAGCTAAAGTTTCCCAAAAGTTGCTCCATTTGATTTTTTTAACATTGCAGTAAGTTTATTTCCCATAAACTGGCACCATAGAAGGTAACATGCACTGCAGTGCAGAATTTTTAGGATTGTTGAGGTCTTAAAGCCTCATGGGAATTGTAGGAATATCAGCTGTGATCCCTAGCAGGAAGAGACAGGATTTTTGGCATTTAAATCTCTACATGTGTGATCTTTATTCAGAGACCATCTTGTTACTGACAGGTCAGAGAACGATGCTCACAGTGGCTCAACTCATGGTTATTGTACATCACTGTTTGAAATCCTACATGTTATCTGTAAACACAACAGGGAGAGACCAATAGAGATGGGATGATACCAGATCAGTTTATTCAGGACAACATTATCATTATTATTCAAACTGAAAACAGCTTATGTATTCAACAGCTCAGTAATCAAATATGAGCAAGGTCGCATCCTGTAGTTTTCTTAGAATTAGTCAAAAATACACACAAGAAACATCAAAAAATCTTTTTAAAGCATTATTTGGTAATGCTTTTTAAGGGGCCTTAACATTTTTCCAGGATATTTGCTTTTTGTTACTAAACATGTGGAAAATGTTCTGAGACTAACTCTTATTTTGCTGATTTCCAGAGGAATTTCATTTCTAAAAAACTGCTCTTTTAAACCCAATTATTAATTTGTTATTGGAACCTTTAATCTTCCTATATGTTAATGCATGAGCAGGGACCTACCTTCACTAAGTTCAAACGGAAGTATGAGGACATATGAGTGAACTATAAGGCTACTGAATGCTTGTGAATACTTGGTTGTTTGTTGGTTTTGGGGAAGGTTGAGGTCTGTGCCACTGCTGGGCACTGGCAGAACCGCAGCAGGGATAGAAGAATAGAGGGTAAAAAAAAAACAGTGGGGGGGGCGGACGGACCAGAAGTGGAAGTATGGAGGTTTGAGTGGGTTAAATAGTGTGAAAATGAATTGGTTGACAGGATTCTTTCAGGAGAGTGTGTTTTTAAAGAACAGTTATCTGCCCTGCTCTGGTTAAGTTTCTGCCCTCAGACATACCCTCCTGTTCCACTCGCCTGACCCCACCCATACACACACCTGCTCCCAGTTTCCCAGCTATCCAGCCAGTATCTCAACCTGATATGTTTTCCTGTAGGCCTTGGTTAAACTCACCTCGTCACCAGTCCGCCTGCTTGCATGTCTGTGTTTGGGGCCTGCATTTGTGACACAAACAGCTATTTTCCTCATCAGTTTCATGGCATTTGGTGTAATAAATAATGAGCTTCCAGGTTTTGTGATGTGCGAAAAGCTTTCAGTATGACCATCCATCCATTTTCTATCATATTCTGAGGAATTATTGTTATAAGGAGTGACAAAAATGTTACTTAAATGTGAGTAAATTCATGCACATGGTAAATAATTCTCAGCCATATCATCCCCATTGGACCTTTCATCATCAAAGTTTCACCTTAAGTGTAAGTTGATGAACTCTGTCCTACCTTATATTTGTTTTGAAGATGTAAATCAGTAGAGATGTAATGCTTCTGTTCCGTTAGAAGACCAGTGTAGGATTTAAATTTGCTTAGTTCAACATTTGCATAGTCATCAACAATAAACACACAAAAAGCACTTGGTGTTGGTCATGCAAACTGTGACACACATGCTTTACAAACCGCACGTCCCGCCATGACAACAAAAGCAAAACATTTCCAGCATTAACACAACAGAGTAAACTAACTGGTATGACATCTAAAGGGTGTGCCTATTTCATCCATTGTATGTTACATGCTTGTGGTTTTAGTCAGCAGAAGTGACCGATGTATGGAAGAATGAATAAAATCAGGACATAGACTGAATGACAAACTGCCACACCTGTTGTATTCTTATATAAACAATGGATGATGTTACTGTGTGTATTTGAAAGGTGTTGCCTTTTGTGATCTTTCACTTGCAGCTGTTTGCAGTGAAGTGTCTAAATATGCCAGCTACACCTGCCCAGCACCAAACAGCAGACAGACAAAGTTAGTGAACACTGCAGAGCCTTCAGGAGCTATAGTAAAGCCAGATGTGTCCTGCATTTTCCTGGAAACAGGAACCTAAACAACATCCTTCATGTTTTCTTCTCCATCTAGAACTCTAGCTCTGACCACAGGATCCAGCTGGACCTGGGTCTGTGGGACAAATTCAGTGAGCTCGCCACCAAGTGCATCATCAAGGTGGTGGAGTTTGCCAAGCGAGTGCCAGGCTTCACCGGTCTGACCATTGCTGACCAGATCACTCTGCTCAAAGCCGCCTGCCTGGACATCCTGGTATGTTTGTCATAAAACAGCTTTCTACTTCATGAGTTTTAGCTGAGCCGTCAACAAAGGAAATAAATCATAGTAGAAGATTTGTGATGATGACTGAAGTAAATGAGTAGCTGTACGAGGCTTTATTTGCAGTGATACTTTATTTTACCTGCACCCTGCAAGAACTGAACTGAATGACATGAATTACACACAGACAGGACAGAGCTGCTGATGTGATTCACACCATTTGTGGATCTTGACTCACGCTGTCATTCAACACTCATGGCAAAGACAAACTGACAGGCAGGCTGGCGGATGGAGAGCAGCCATCAGACAGAGCGGGCTGCATGCTTTATTCTCCTTCATCCTCTGTCATTCACTGCCAAGTCTGTTTGTCATCGTCACTGTCAGACCTGATCATTTACTCCGACGCTGTCTGACAGCAGCAGGGGAGTTCTGCGTGTGATCAAAAGCTCTGTTGCATTTTATTTTTACACACTTCCTCCTGGTGAGGTGTTCTGGGACTTCTGTTTGCCAAGTTCTCACGGTTTGGTCTTCATGCAGTATTTATCACTCCCTCCATGGCACCACACACCACTGTAAAGTCACAAGTCTAAAGTCAGACTGTGCATATTTGTATTTGTGTTTAAGATTTCTATTCATTTATCGAGGGGTAAGCAACCTGCAGTAGAAATGATTTAAAAACTGATTAGTGATGTCTAGTGTGTGGGTAGTGACTGGGCAAATTGTCATCAGTCATCAGGCTAGAATTCAGTATATTGCTGATTTATTTTAACTTGATTTTTGGCAAAAATAGAATGGACACGATAATGAAATGAAGAAGCAATGCAGGAGGTCATTCCAGAGATTTCCTGCACCTGCTTTTGTCCCATATGACTGTCATGTGCTGTGGTTTCATGATGGGAATCATTGCATCGTGACCTGATACTTTTTCCGCTCTTAAACACTGTGCAATTACAAAATCTTTATTTCCTCTATCATCCGCTTCCTCAGTCTGTTGTTCTTCTCTTCAGATCCTGAGAATTTGCACTCGATACACTCCTGACCAGGACACCATGACCTTCTCTGACGGGCTGACCCTAACCCGCACTCAGATCCACAACGCTGGATTTGGACCACTGACAGATCATGTTTTCACTTTTGCCGGACAGCTGCTGCCACTGGAGATGGACGACACAGAGAGCGGCCTTCTCAGCGCTATCTGCCTCGTCTCCGGAGGTACTGAAGTAAAACCATGCAGAATAACACTGTGACTTAAACCCCCTAGTTAATTTCTTCATTATTTATATAGTTTCGAAAAAAGTCAACTATGTCTTTAACATGCAAATTCCTTTCTTTTAGAAGGAAAACATTATCTCTGAAGTATTGATGTTAGATGACTGATCTGTCTTCTTCATCAGACCGACAGGACCTGGAGGAGCCGTCCAAGGTGGAGGTGCTGCAGGAGCCGCTGCTGGAGGCGCTGAAGATCTACTCCCGGAAACGGCGGCCCAGCATGCCCCTCATGTTCCCCAAGGCCCTCATGAAGATCACTGACCTGCGCAGCATTAGCACTAAAGGTCAGAAAGCACTGGCTAGCCAACAGATTGTCCTCACATTATCCGATAAAGACAGAAACTGACAGTAATGTGTGCTGTGTAAAAACATCACTGTGTCTATTTCCACAGGGGCTGAGCGGGTGGTGACACTGAAGATGGAGATCCCAGGCTCCATGCCTCCTCTGATTGAGGAGATGCTGGAGGATCTGCAGGACCTGGAGAAACACCAGAAGAAACACTCAGAGGAGAGCAGAGCAGAGGAAAACAATCTCCTCACAGTATGAACTCCTCTGGTTTTATCCTCTGAAGCTGCTCTAAGAACACTTGGTCCATCTCCCCTCCCAGAGGAAACACTTACAGAAGCTGTCCAGATGGTTACTATGGTCTTTGTTCTGTTAATAATCAGAGCCTGATCTGCAGATATGACTCTGTTGTTTAAAGAAGAGATTCAGTTGTTACACCAATGACCTCTTTTAAGAAAGAAAAGCTAATGTCTGTCGGCTCAGATGCTGCTGCAAAGGGGAAAAGAATGCAGTCGTGTTTTCATCTTCCCCCATTTAACTTTTGGACCCTTAGTTGCATAGCTACTGGGAATCATTCTCAGCTTTTCTTTGTCTGGTTTTTACTGTATTTGCATGACATAACACATGCACTAATTTTTACCTCATTAAATATCACTGCATTTAGCATTAGTGTAGTAAAGAAAGTAAACATCGGGAATGGGTATTTTTGATCTTTTTACATTTTATCTGTATTTGTTCACTTGTCAAAGTCTACTGTTTGCACCTGACATGTTGATTTGCTTTATATCTGCAGAAACAAAAGCTTATAAAGGTGAAAATTCCTGATTTGAAAGTGAAGAATGTTTAACCAAGTGTAAGAAATCTTCACTGTAAGCAGCCTGTGGACTGTCATGTGCTTACTCTAAATGTGCCAACATCTTTCATATCTGAGAATTTTACATGGTTTTTGGATTTGTCCACCTGGTCCAGTGAGTGTTAATGTCTTCATGTACTCATCCGTGTTCCTCATTACTCGGTATGACTACTGAATATACACATATATGATCATATTTCATGGTACATTAGGTTGTGAAGTTGCTAGACAGATCACATTTCATGTGCTTTTGTTGCTCTGTTAAGGTCTTATGTACTGGATTCCATGTTGCCGTTTCATGTTTCCACTGACACTGCAGGATTTTGTTATGGCTGAGGTGACGCAACGGTTCATGTTTAATGTTGTGAAGCTGTGAGGTCAACCTGTCTTCTCTCAAAAGCACGGTTCATACTGCCCCCTGTGGATCTTGTAGGGAATCACATGACAGTACAGTAAATATTTCAATCCACTGGGTTGATCAGTTCATGGAAAATTAATCCCAGATTTCACAGAAAAATTTGCTACATTTAAGTATGTTGTGCAGGTGGATTTGTTTCATATATCCAGTTTGCTAAGATATAAAAGGTCAATATGAGTTTCTTTCAGTTTACATTAGGCTGCAGTGTCTACTGAGATAACAGCACCAATGTTGTCAACATTATTGTAAGAAATAAATGCTCCCTACTGTTTAAATTCCCTCACCATCAGTAATGGAAACTCTTAAGTACACTTATCCAAGTGTAGTGCTCGAGTACACTCTTAAAGTGCCTGTTTTTTACTAGTATTCCCATATCATGTTACTTCACTTCAGGGGGACATACTGTACTTTCTACTCCACTACATTTTATCTGACAGTTGTAGTTATGCTACAGCTTAAGATATTTTAAAAAAGAAAAAAATAATAAGGATAAGCTTGTGACTTTTTACAAGCAAACAGATCCAAAAAGGTAAAGTCATCTAACACTTCACACAAAAGCAAAGATTAGAGAAAAGAATTTAAACAACTTTGTTGCCCACTCATTACTCATTTCACAACCCCTTAGATTTAGCTGGTGACCTTTTGGGGGGAAAGACCTTTAGGTTGAAAGCCACTACACTAAATATCAGAAATCAAATATTGTCACAGACAAAGACCCAAATCTAGCATGAGCACTCCCTATTTATAATTTTTCTATCTATGTAAGTAGACATAAAGGCCTTGTGTGCAGAGCCCTGCAGCCTCCATACCCTCTGCCATATTATGATAACGGGACAACAGACAGCAACACGTAGCACACACAAGGACAACACAAAAATATAAACTCACTTCTCTCTACACTTCTCTCTGGTGTCAGAGGTTTAACAAATATCAAACAGGAAAGCATCTTTTCATTAACATTACACTTGATTTTAATGCAATTTCCTCCACACACGTCAGATCTTGAGTACAGGACTTTTACTTGTACTGCAGTATTTTAACATTGCTCCATTAGTACTTTTAATTAAGTAAATGTTCTGAACCCTTCTGCCACTGCTGCTCATTGGCTCAACATCTTATCATGATCACTCACCTTATTAGTTTGACAAATGATCACAGTTGGGCACTTTTTTGAATTAAATAGTGTTTATTTATTTATAATTGTAAAATAGTTTGATAGTCCTTATATAGATTATACTGACAAATATCTTTCAGATCAAAGTGCAAGAGAAAGCTTATTTTTGGCTGCTCGTAAATCTTTGAAACAACTGAAAATGCACAGTGAATTACAAGAAATACATTTTTGATGTTCATTATAGGAGTATCTTAAGGTGCAAGTTAGTATAATGCAAGAACAACAGGAAGTAGAAGAACTGAACATTTCACCTGGTTTTCAGTCTGCAGTCAAACACTGTGATATGTTTGACAGACAATGCTGGATTAAAGAGAAGGCAGGGTTTCTTATCAGCTCTTTGAAAGTGAAGTGAGTGAGGAAACTGGGGCTTGAAGCCACTTGAATCACATGCTGCAACGTGTAGCCTTGCAACAAGGAATTTCAACAGTAAAACTGCTGAGTCTGGTCCTGTGCGCTGAAGTCAGACAAACCTGAACAAACAAAGAGGAAGGCCTCACACAAGCTGAGAAGCTGGAGCCCACAGACAGTGGTGGTCCTCATGCTGCTTAGAGAAGTGTTCAACTTTTACATTGTGAACTAAAAATAAGTTCCACCTTCATTACAAACACGAGCATATACAGCACAGTGTAATGTTTTAAATTACCCTTGGAGATTCACAGTCACATGCCTGAGAATCAAAGAGGTGTTTAGTGACAAACATGTTACAGCAGCCTTGTTTCAGTACAAAAATATATGAGTATATATTATGTATTAATTCAGGTTAATTACACTTCATGTTGACACAGCATCAGTGTGGTCGAAGGTCACTTCTTTTCCTCATGTTATTTCTCTGCGACTCTAAAATGAACACACAAACACATTAAACAGTGTAATTATTTAAACCCGAGCAGGTCATTTTAAATGAGGGAATTCACTTTTATCTTTTAGTGTGGAAACCTAAAAAAAGTGTTATGAAACTTTATGAAACTATTGAGAATCTAACCACACACACATCTAAACTGGGTCCCCTAATTTTAATTAACAGTCTGATAACTAAAAACCCAAAATCCAATAACACATGACAAATACATTAAAATATTATTTCAGTTAAATTTTGTGAGTCGAGGGTCCTGACAGTCAACTGACAGTGGAGTTCATTGAAATAAAACACATTATAGGTTTATAATAAAATCCATGACTCATCTTAGGACTAGTGATTGCTAAACAGGCTTTTAATGATGAACAATGACTTTTATGTGTGTTTATAAAAATGTTAAGATTCTAAGGCCACCTGCTGTGTATTGCTTCATAGTAGCTGTTCTCTTCCAGCAGCTCCTCTATGATGCCCTGAAAGGGGAAACTACTTCAGCAGTAGCAGACAGACATTCAATATGACTTTAATCGGAAATTTAGCTGGAGAAAACAGAATCCTACTGTACCATTACAGAATAATACAACTGGTCTGTTTTTAAAGGATTTGTATTTATTCATTCATTCTTGATTATGAGAGGAATCCTTTATCATTTTGGGAAATATGCTTATTCACTTCCTCCCACAGTCCAAAGACATACAGCTTAGGTTGATTGGTGACTCTAAATTGCCTGTAGGAGTGAGTGTGAGTGTGTGTGGTTGTTTGTTTCTAAGTGTCAACCCTGTGATAGACTGGTGACCTGTCCAGGGTGTACACCGCTTCTTGCCCAGTGTCAGCTGGGATTGGCTGCAGCCCCCCATGACCCTCATTAAGATAAACAGTATAGATAATGGATGGATGGATGCTTATTCATTTTCTTGCCAAGAGATAAGAAGGTTGATATTGCTGTCACGGCTGTATCTTAGCTAGAGTCAGTAGGCAATGAGTGTAGCTTAGAGTAAAGAGTGGGAAACAGATAGTCTGGCTCCATTCAAAGTTAAAAAAGAAAAAGGGGGAAACAAATAGTCTGGCTCCATTCAAAGTTAAAAAAAACAACACCTTTTATCTGGTTTGATTAATCTGCAAAAAAAACAAACTGTAAAAACAGCAAGCTGTGGCCTTACTGGGGGGTTGTGTACCAGACTATTTCTTGGCCAGACACAGTGGCAGACCTTCTCATCCAAATGTCTGAAAGCAAATAAATGTATTTCCCAAAATGTTAAACTATTCCCTTAATAAATCAACAAATGAAAAAGAATATAAAAATAAAATGACAAAACTCAATAACAAAAGAATCCTCAGAGAAACTGACCTGTAGCTGCTGATAGGTAACTCCGTCTCTGAGATTCTCATCACCTGTCAGAAGAATAAATAAATCAGGTTCACTGTTTTACCTTCATCATTTCAACTTGAATTTGCAGCATTTGAGGTCAGACAGCTCAACTCTCTACACAGTATTTCCTCAGCCTGATGATATTAACCTAGCAAATCCTCATTAACATTGAACCAGATTACATCAATAATAGCTTGTGGAAAAGCTTCTTTGCCGAACAGCCTGCAGTGTGTTGTGTGTTGGCGTCTTCGTCTAGATGTGTAAGGTGAAGCTGTGGTCATATAACTAACTCCACCTGTGCCGTGAGCAGCGTGGGAGTCTCCTGTGAATTGGGGGTTCAGAGGCCACCAGTCTGAACTGGTTAAGCCTAATTCCATCAGCTCTGGAGACCCCTGGAGCAGCTGCAGAAAAAGAGCAGGGGAATTCTCATTTTCCTTGTTTTCTCCAGTGTGAAGTTGCCCTGTGCTAAAACTGGCTACAGTATATGTGTAATACTGCATAATACAAGCTGTAACACAAGTAGAGCAACAACTGAAACTGGTGAGAAGTTAAATTATCACAAACCAAACAACTGTCACAGGTTTGTGATTTCAGGTGTTTTTGATACCTCTGCTATTATATGGAAATTATATTCAAGTAGTCTTTGCGGTTGGGAAATATGAATGAGCACAGTAAGTTTAAAAATAATAACATTTATTTTTCTGTGACCACACAATTTATGCATGGCTGCCAGGATACAGGTGACGGCTTTTCTTACTCACAGGCTGAAATGACCTCTTTCTCTTCAACATATATTTTCCACTTTGTTATACTGTATGCACTGAATAAATGAATTGTGATTCAGTAGTACAAACCCTGCTGAGCTCCACCTTCAAGTTGTATGGATCACTGCCATAGTGGAACAGAGACTTTTTAAATTTTTCAACCGCTCGTCGTTTGATATTGTTGTGCGGAGCTGGTGGAAGCTACAGGTGGGGAAAAAAACAGTCAAATCAAAGTGCAATCACTGCTGCACAGCTACACAGTGGACTGTTCACATCTTGGTTTTTGAGTCATGAAACCTTCTTTAGAGTTTATAAAACCAGAATAAAAAGATTTGGACCTGTAGCATCAAACTGAACTGCAATAAGATCTAATAAAATTATATAATACTGTACTTGAGAGATGTAGATAATTTTGTGCAGCTGCCCAAGAAGCCTCTGGATGGGATCATCGATCTGTCGAAGCTTCTTCTGGGAGACACAAATCCCTGCTGACACTAAGATAAAAGCAAAGGCAAATTGACTGACTGAAGCTAAATAAACAGAGCAGACACATGTTAAAAAAGGCTCATATAACCTCCATGGGTTGAGCATTCCCATCAGGTTGGAAAGTTACCTGGTCTTGGTTTCATTTTTGCAGCAGCATCATCCCCACTAACAAAAAAGACAAGAGGAGACGAGGGGGGGGGGGTTTCAAAAAACAGATTTAGCGTTTATATGCATTAATGAATTAACAAACATCTGCCTCCATTTACTGTTCTTTACATTACTAAATGATGGTACTGTGTCCAGTAAATATAATGTATATTTACCACAAACCACAAACAAACTGGTTACGTGAGGTTTTTTTACTTACCTAGATACAATTTCGCCAGGCCCAACACAGGCACTGGACTTCAGTCCTTTCAATCAAAAAATAAATAAACAAATAAAAGCCAAACTGTGAATTAACCAATCTAAAAAAATCCTGTAAAACATGAGCAAAAACCAGAAAAAAAAAAACAAGGCTCCAGTTCTTACTGTTGTTTTGAGTATCAGACCGTTCGACATCATCGTCTGAGGCATCATCTAAAAACACACACATAAACAATATGTTATAATTTTGGAGTTAGATCTTTCAGTGTCACAGCGTGTGCTGTGAGTCACCTTGATTCCCGTGGGCTGAACTGCAGGCTGCAGAAGAACTGGAAGTAAAATATTCAGTTGGCATTAGGAGTCTTTCCTGAAAGCTTTTATGCCTTTCCAGGAAGTACTTCTGTGCTCGTTTCCTGTCTCTCTCTGCTCTTTTTTCCAGTGCATTCTGGGAAGTACAGACGCCGTCCATCAGTTTCATCATAAGGTCACAGATCCTGGAGCTGACAGCCACGATATCCGGACGGTGGTCTGCGTCTGGACTCAAACACCTAAGAGGACATCCCATAAGAGAATAGAGTGCTGTGTGAATTCATTACATGAATGATGTCTGTAATACTGTGTTACTTTCATTCTTTAAAAATAAAAAAACACATGCAAAAAATGGGATACAACTGTCAATTTTTGACACATCAAGTTAGTTATTTTAAGTAGATCTTGACAGACAGTTATTCTAAACACTAACACATGAATCATCAGCCTGCAGGTGCATCTCACAGCAGAAGTCTCACCATCTGATCATGTCTGTGACTCTCTCTGAGAATGCTCCTTCTTCAATTGGGCTATAGATGGCCTCAACAATCTACCAGCACAAAATAAAAAGCAAAGAATAATAAGTGGACAAAAAGAACAAGCCCAAAGTGTGTGTGTTCATGCTACCTTGTTGGCCAGTGACAGCATGTTACTGCTGTAAAATGGTGGCTGTAAAGTGGCCATTTGGTACAAGATGCAGCCCAAAGCCCAGATGTCAGCCTTCTCTCCATATGGCTCATTCTTCACCACCTCTGGACTAACACACAAACACACACCTGTACAGA